GTGTGTGTGTGTGTGTGTGTGTGTGTGTGCAAGTTTTAACCAGCAGGTGAAAATGTGATTGCTGCTGCTGTGGCTTCCCAAACGTAATGTGTTCTGAGTTATTTTTATGTCTCATCTGAGGAACAGTCAAGCAAGCGTTCATGCAGACGCTGTGGGGAGCCTCGGTCTATTGTGTGTCGATAAACATGGTGTGTGTGTGTGTACATATATACACTTAACTGCATGCAGAGGTGTATATATGTGTGTGTGTGTGCATATCTGGCAGTGCTCCAAATCTCAGGGCTAATGGAGTGCTAATGTCCCTGGTGTGCTCTTGTTTACTTAATGGCAACATATGGGAGGACAAGAAGAGAGGCTTTGCCTACTTAAGAGTGACACGGCCTGTGTTTCTGACTCCTGCATTTCTTCCTGAAATAATCCTCATATACTGAGAATTACATCTTGATCCTGAACCCCTGCACTTTATTCTGTTGGTGCTCACCTTTTGATTGAATCGTTCTTTTTCTCAGACCAAAGCAATTTTTTTTCTTGAAAATAAGCCAAACGTGAAACAGGTTATTTGTGGCAAACACTGTCTTTTTACGATCATCGTTATACGTCTGCTAAAATTACTCACATTGTTCAACTCTACTTTATGTGGCTCCCTTCAGTTTACGAAAGCGTGTTGACCTTTTCTCATTCTCCATGTTTCTCAGTTGTGGAAGGCAAAAACCTCATACCCATGGACCCCAATGGCCTGTCTGATCCCTACGTCAAACTGAAGCTCATACCAGATCCTAAAAACGAGACCAAGCAGAAGACCAAAACAATCCGCTCTAACCTCAACCCCAAATGGAACGAGACCTTTACATTGTGAGTGAACAGGCAGCTTTCAAACATTGCTTTTTATTATTATTTTTTAATACTATTAATTTGATGTCAAGATTTGTTTGAATGCTGCTTTACACTTGAATGCGTTGCTTTAAAAGTGACTCTTTGCATTGATTTATTTAGTAGTTTATATAGTTGTATTAATGATAGTTACTATTTGCTTTGCAGCAAGCTGAAAGCTTCAGACAGAGACCGCAGGCTGTCTGTAGAAGTGTGGGACTGGGACCGGACTACCAGGAACGACTTCATGGGGGCCCTTTCCTTTGGAGTATCAGAGCTCATGAAGTCTGCAGTTTGTGGCTGGTAATGCTGAATTTTGGAAACATTGCAGTCCTGAAGCTGTAAAACTTTTCACTAAAGAAATACCCTTAGATTTTTACAAGGCACTAAGTTTTAAAAAAAGTATCACTGTTCTTACATTTTGCTAATTCTCACTAAATGTTCAATTTAAATGTTAAACAATAATCTAAATGTAAAAGTTACATCTTAGATGTTTTGACTAAGTGTGGAAGTTTGTAAGCATTTTGGAATGGAACGTAGCCTTTGCTGTTGGTGCTCGGCTCTTGTTGTGATGTCATCGTCCTGCGACAAAAGCAACTGCTAACGCTGCTAATGTTTCACTGCAAAACATCAAACTTGCAGTTGCAGACAGTGTCTGAGCTGCACTTCTGACTGCCAGACCACAGGAAACATCCATATCATTTTTAATGGACACATTTTGAATTTAAAATGGAAATACCACCTTCAGCAGTGTTAGCAGCAGTAGCAACATTAGCAACGTTTACAGCGTTGGTAGCATAAAACATAATCATTTTTATTACATTTTATAC